TAGAATGATATCAAATAGCCAATGAATAAGATAATTTAAAAAATTAATTCTATCTTATTTTTGATTTTTATTTTTTCTGTCATTTTGGATAAGAAAACAAAAGATTTTCTTCAAAGTATATCAAAGGATCCGTGTTCTACATTTTTTTTTCAGATTTATGCTAAAAGTGTGTGAGAAATACTTGGGAAAAATATTATTGATGTTTGCATAACTATGAATTTCAAAAAAATGCAGCAAAACTATGATGTTTGTTTTAACTCCACTTTTACTTTAAAAGTAATAAATCAAATATTTAGATTTTTTTCAATAAAATAACATGTTATTTTAAATCCATCAATATGTTGACTGCCAACTACAAATTATCTTGGTGCCTATTGTTCAATTGCCAACTACACCTACAAGATAACTCTTATAATGTTATCTGTTATGCTTTGTCATGTACAACTATTCCCGTAGTAAATAGTTATTAGCAGGTGTTGGGAATGAGAATGACACTTCAATTGGCCATTATATAACAAACTATGAAGAAGTTTAAAATGTGATAAGAGTTTTCTGTTTTGATTGACAGATATGAATATTTTCGTAGTAAATGTATTACCAAAGTAGGTAATTTGTGCTTGGAATATGGATGACAAATCAGTTTGGTGTCATAAAAGGAAATGTTTATTGAAAAATGTTATTACCCGAATTAACAATATTTTTGAAATACTCAAATTTGCCTAAAATTGTGAAGAAAGAATTAAACATTTCCAATTATAATTATGTATTTGCCCAGTTGATTTTTTAAATATAAAATATATATTAAAATTAATGTATATTTTATATTAATTTTTATATATTGTTTCATAAAAGTTAAATTGTCTTTGTATTATATATATATTTATTATTATTATTATTATTAATTTCCACTTGGATAAGTTAGCCATTTTTATTTTTGTCTTTCAGGATTTTGCATGTCTATTTTTTTACAAATATAGTGTAATTAAAAGATTTAAAAATATATTTTATTGATTTATAAGATGTAATTATATTTATTTATGAACAGTTTGGTACTTAGAATATATTCTACGGATTATAATTTTGATTAAATGAATACATTATGCACCCTTATGTAAATTGTATAATAAATTAATCATTTTTTAAAAATGGAGACAAATTCTGCCCAAAAGGGACCACCATTTATTTTCTTTGTGTTCCATACAATACACTTTGTCTTCATTTTTAAAAAATAATATACAGTAGAGCATTGATTATCTGACTCAATTGGGGACTGGGGTTGGTCGGATAACTGAAAAAACGGATAACTGAAAAATATGAAAAAATACATTATTAGTATAGTATATCAGTATATCTCATGTCATTAGTATATTAGTATATTGTTATTAACCTACTTCACGTTGAATTTTCATCAATGTTAAGCCTAACAAAAATGTTTTTAAAATAATAATCATCGTTATTGTATTGTTAAAAATTAGAAAATTAAGCCTCGTTTAAATACTGGCTCCCTTTCATGGTCGAGCCATATTGACAGCTAAAACACGTAAAAATACTATTAAAGTAGCCAAGACATAGCCAAATATTGTAGCGCCACATCACTAGCGGACATTTGAATTTGCCGACTAGAACGGTTGGTTAACTGATGGTCGGATAATTGATGCTCTACTGTACTCTCCATCGTACGAAAATTTACAGATGAAAGTTAATCATTTTAAATGATATTTTTAATAATTCCAATTTATTTTTTTATTATCCGTTATTGGAAATAAATATCAATTAATAAAGTTATTTTTGTTTTTTTTTCCTTCTTCAGATGCTTTCCACAAACAACCACTTAATATCCACTTAATTACTGCCTGTATATGTGGTAAGTCAAAAACGATTCTAAAATATATCTATAAGTTTTTTCAAATTGTACAATCTTTAAAATGGTAAAAAATATTGTAACAAATCATCATCCTTAGTTTAATAATAATAATTACTTTGTATCATATTTAGTTTTATAAATTTATAAACTTTTTTCAATGTATATGTATATTCAATTTTTCAATATTCAATGTATTTCAATCTTCAACTTTCTTCAATGTATATATGGGTATTGCTACCATTCAAATGATTTCATTATACACAGTGCGGCAATTATATTCCGGGACTGGATCTATAAAAATGAAACAAAACAATTTTATTCAAATCTTTTTATTAAATTATTCAAAATACTCTCCTCCTGCTTCAATACACTTTTTACAGCGATTCAATAGTGATTCAAATGCCTGCTCAAACTCAATTTTCGGTATTGCCTCTAATATGCGCGTAGACTCTCTTTGGATGGTTTCAATATCATTAAAAATGCGTCCTTTCAACTTCATTTTCATTTTTGGAAATAAAGAGAAGTCACATGGTGCTAAATCGGGGGAATACGGCGAATGATTCAACACACAGACTTGATTTCGTGCCAAAAATTGACGAACAATCAATGATGTGTGACTCGGTGCATTATCGTGTAACAAACACCAGTCATCAGAATTGCGATATTCTGGTCAAATTCGACGAATTCTTCCCATTAATCGTTGTAAAACTCCCAAGTAGAAAGCAGCAGTAACTGTTTGACCCTGTGGGACGAACTCACGGTGGATGATGCCTTTGCTATCGAAGAAAACAATGAACATCGTCTTGATTTTTGATGGAACTTTTCGTGTTTTCTTGGCTTGAGGTGATGATAAACACTCACTTCCATACACTTTCTGCATCATTTTGAACGTTTCTGTGGCACTTGTGCCAAGTTTAGTGTGAAATTTAATAACAGCACGTTGTTCCATTATTGTTTGCCGACATGTAACAAAATAAACTGATAAACAAAATATCAAAAACAATGATAAATGTCAACCGATTTAAATAAAAGTTTTAGGTTAGTAGCGACATCTGTTCAAACTTCATATAACATAAAATTTAAACAGATGTCGCTACTGGTTGCTGAGATATAGCTTCAGTCCCAGAATTTAATTGCTGCACTGTGTATGTATGAGTGCAGTGTGACACATGCCTGATGTTTTGGCAATGCCAGAGATAACAAGTGATGATAAAAATTTTAGTGCTTATTAGTACTTACTCAATGAAACTTTTAAAAATTTGAAGAAAAAATATAAAACATTATATATGAAGTATACATATATAATAGTGCAACAGAATATGGTCTGGTATGGCATTATATGCTGTAAATTGGTTACATTGTAATGTGTCTAGTAAATAGTCCCATCCATTAGAACTTAAGTTACCTATTTATTTTTTTTTATGATCATTCAATTTAAAATAACCTACAGAATTTATTATAGTAATAGTTATAGAAATGGAAGACTGAGAAAATGTAACTATAATATTTGTAATGATAATTCTTTTCATTTTATTTTTTACTAAAATACATAATCATTGTTTACATATGAAAACTTTTTGGATAATCTCCAAAAAGACAAAAATGTTAAAAATCTCTTTAAAAGACGTGTAAAAATGTAATTAGATATCTTTTAAAAATGCAATTTTTTAAAAATTTTTTGCAAACTTATTATAAATCTATACATATTTAAATTTTTAAATTTATGTATGTTAAAGTGTATATATCTCTTGACTTGAATTTTTATACTTTTAACTTGAATTCAATTATAACACAAATAATGATAGGCAGATATTTCAGGACATGTAGCTACTTTAGTTAGCAGTATGAGTCAGTAAATTTAAATCAAATTTTTTTCTTAGAACAAATATAATTTAAGAAAAGAAAAAAATAATATAAATTTGTAATTTTTTTCTGAGCATTTGTAAAAAATTAAAAGTGATTTTCATTTCTTGATTTTATTACAAAATATACTCCCACAAATTGAAGATGATGGTGGTGATGACATAATGAAAGTGCAGTATAAATGATATGACAGAGTTTGTTAAAATTCACAATGAGCTAGTCACTGATGAACTCCAAGATACTTAAAATATTAAAATGTATTGAATTATTATTATCCTTCTTTTGAAGAAGAGTTAAATATTAAAATTTTAGAAGAAACATTTTTCTTCTGACTTGATGGTGTAAGAGTTGTGATGAATTAATGAACCCTTGTAGCTAAATATTATGGATGAAGAGGAGACGGTTAAAGCAAAAGTGCTTTGGATTCTTTAAAGATTTATTAAACTTTGTTTCTTTGAACAAGGATTTCAACTAGTGTAACAAAAAAGTTTTAAAAAATAACAAGCATTTAAACAGGAGAAGAATTCATTTTCATGTTAACCCAGAGATTTGATTAATGTACTTTTTGGCAGAATGCATTCCCCACATCTAATGAGAGATACCTTTACACTAAAACAGATTATCGAAGTGTAACAATTGTGGACATTAGATATAGGTTACTTATAAGCATTGACAGTGTGTGCTATTGGGAGCCCCATTAGAAAAGATATCTTAAAAAATTTTTGACCATAGTATAATGTTTTACAGCTATCAATAAACTAAACATAATTACATTTATTAAAATTAATATTAAACCTTAAAATGTGGAACCACAAAAGCTGTTGGGCTTGACTATAGCTTCATTCAGTCCTATTGGTGTTCATCATTGCTTATAAGTGACATTAGTAGGAAAAAGAGAGAGAGATCATTTTTCTAATTAATTTTGTTTTTGGTGAAATACTACAATCATCTCATTCTAACTAAATATTAATATAGTAATTAATAATGAATTTTATATTAAATTTAATCAAGATCATCAGTATAAAACTCAAATAATTTCAGTATTTTTTTGCTAAAATCCATCCTGATCTCTTTCAATGCATGCTTTTATTATGTCATCACCACCATCATCTTCAAAAGAAGAGGATGTTAAAAAATACCTGTGGTATATTTTAACAATGTCATAACTGTAGTTATTTACATTGTTCTAGATATTTTAATTTGAAAATATATGAAAATATATGAAAGCAATACTTTAAATCTTATAATTATTTATTTATTTATTTTAAATCAGAATTGAATAATTCACTACGAGGGAATATTAATTGGCCAGTAATTTACGGAATAGGTATGCATTAAAGTTTGCATAAATATTAAAGGATGCACATAAGCTAAAGCAGAAATACATATTTTAAAAAATGAATTTTGCAGGAATTAATGTGAAAAGTGGTGAAATATTTCCAGCAACATTCCCTGATAAAGGACCAGATCTTCAGCTAAGATGTGCCAGGCATTTTACTGGATGTTACGATGTAATTATTTCCATTACACTTAATAATTGTTTACTGTTTTTCATATGATTTAATAATTATAAGAGATCTTTCCACATATACCATATCCATTTATTGATCATTTGTAAAATTACTTTTCAGATGATAGATACTTACGATTACAACTTGGGAGTGATGAGAATTGGACCATTCAATTATGAACCAATGCGTGGAATAAATCTTTGGCTATCACAAAGTGATGATTTTCTTTTACAGGTAAATTAATTATAAAGTTTTCAAATGCAATTAATATACATAAAATTGAAATCTCTCATACAAAATTTGATGTTTCAACAGCATCTTTCAACTTCTCCAGAAGTCGAACCTCCACATTTTGCAATGCAAGTCCGAGAGACGTTAAAATACATCCAGCAGCATCCTTTTCCGGGAGTGACTGTTTTTCCAGACAACAGGCCTCATTTCTTTCAGAAAGATGAGAGTGGGATGTGGGTACAAATCTGTTATTAGCATGTCAAAGTACAATCAAACAATATATAAATGGAGGACACGCAACTTGGTCTCCATTTTTGTATTTCGATTCCATTTGGAATTAAACACTCGTTATGGAGCCGTCGGACTGCACATAAATGCATATATTTAGATGAAAGTTTTGTAGAGAGAATGCCTTTCCAATGCAAACTTTTTGGCCAGACAATGTTGCATTTAGCATTTTTGTTCTCTTTTTTGTGTGTGTTTATGGTATTGTGATAAGTCGAATTTAGTAAAGGACCACCTTAATTGTGTTTAAGCCATTTGGTTTTGTCAGAATTCAGGTTTCTACTCAAGTATAGAGATTTAAATTGCAAACTGTACATTTTTCTTGTTATTAACACAGATTAGTGTATATTTTTTATTTTTAACAAATTTACTGTAGTTAAATTCTTATTTCTCTCACTGTTAAGCGATATACTGACACAAAATAATTTTTTACTCTCTCCAAATGTTTAGCTATAAAACACTCCGCAGCATCTATAAACAATGTTTCTATTGTCGAACATTCTGCCACACTGGCACTGTTTATATTTTCATACTGCAATAATTAAAAAAAAAATGAATTATAGAATAAGCCATGTTACAAGATAAGCAGAATGAATTGTTGTAAAGATGATATTTTTCTCTCATGAATAGTGTTCAGTAGATGTTAGATAAATTGTTATTTTTTACCAGAATATTGTTAAAAGATTACTATAGTGATTAGTGCCAAGATGATAAATGCACCTGCAAATTTCTCACCCCGAGATATTAAAAAATAAATCATCAAAAGTATATCTTGCGCCCCAAAGGGTACTTACAATTCGCATTTTGCGAGGCCGCTCCGGATGGATTTCCAGAGCGGACAACTTAATATTATATTATATATATATATATATATATATATAGAGAACAATGAAGAAGGACTTGCTACAGCAAGTAAATCCACCTAAGTTCGAAAAATGTGACGATATGTCCNCCACGTCTAATACTATTTAAAATCATACATTAACCGATTTAAATCCGTAAATTAAATAGATTTAAGAAAATTAACGAATTATAATTTTCTCTCCTAATGAACATCACATAATAAATTTAAATTTAGAATTTTTTTGAAAGAAAAGAATTGGCCCAAAGTAGGACTCAAACCCACAACTTCCTTATACCGTGCGGATGTGTTGCCAGTGCCAGTTATGCTATGTTGACCTCTGGGTTATCTTTGCTTACAGTTGGAGCCATGGTTATATCTAAATTAATAATAGTTCTGAAAGCAAAAGTTGCCTGGAGGTCTGGGAAGTGTAACTGGCAATGCATCTACATAGTATATGGGAGTTGCAGGTTTGAGTCCCGCTTCAGATTGATTTCACCAGAAAGACAGTTGTGTCCCTGATGTGTGTGAAAGGATGTAATGTGAAGACATTTATTGTTTCTTCTAATTTTTATATATTAATGTGATCCTAGCCATTTTATGTGTTATGGCGAAAGCCCAAAGTTCAGCCAGTTTCCGAATTGGCTGGCCATTTCACACTTTGGCCAAGAAGAGTGGCCAATGTTTGATGTACTTGAAATGACCAGTGTATATGCTACTTTGGCCAGCCATTTTGCAAAATGGTGGGAAATTTCTGGCCAAAATTTAATGTGCTGATGCACTGTCCGGTAGGCAGCACATCTTTTGCTTCCAATTTGATGTTGCCACGCACATGCTAGCAAGGAAGGTGCCACATTGTGATGATAATATTCTGTATGTCTGCTGCTTTTTGGAGAAGATCCTGCCTCTGTGACTTGTTATTATTTTGAGTTTTACGGTTTAATTGTGAGTACTGTATTCTTCGTATTTATATAGTATTCTATATGACTACTTTGAGTTCAAAGGTTGTCATAGGGCATGTATGATGTGTTATGGAGTACATGTGATGACACATATTGCTGGAAGGAGCATACAGTAATTATGCTGAAGTTAATAAAGGATTGTTTGCTACAACATGTTTTCTCTTAATGGAACATACTAAATTAGCAATAGAACACAATTTACTGGGGCTGTATCCCATGTAACAATATTATAATTTCAAATATTCATAATTGTTATTCCATAGGTTGTCCCATGGCTACTTCTGATGGGACAAATATGCTGGGTGAAGTTGGACTACATGTAAATGCAGAACCAACATCTGATATGAAAATCACGTTCTCAGATACTTTTGAATATGTTGCTGCAAAAAGCAAATAATAGCAGGATGCTCATCAGAGACAAATACAGCACTTTTATAGATGTTAAAAGGCAAAAGCAAAGCAGAAAAAAGAAAGTATTGACTACCATTGACTAAGAAAATATGATGTTATTGAAGTTAACCCAAGAAACACTTATTGTGCCAATAACAGGACACAATAGTGATATTTTGTACTATATACATACAGCAGAATTTTTCAACATATTGCATGATACCCACTTGAAAATTGGACATGGAGGTCAGACACAGATGGAAAAGGAGCTATGAACTAAGTACAAAAATGTCATCAAAGAAATCATTATATTGTACAGTACCTCTACTTATGCAAGCCATGTCAGACCAAATTGTCAAATCCCAAGAAAGGTTAATTTCTAAACCTTTGATATTTAAAGAATTTAACTCAAGATGCCAGGTTGATCTTTACAAACATGCAGAGTGATCATGATGGCAAGTACAAGTTTATACTCAATTATCAGGATCATTTAACCAAATTTATATATTATTGTTACCTCTGAAAAGCAAAGAGTAGAAGTTGCTTACCAGCTACTTGATATTGTCACCACTATAGGTGCTCCAAGTGGACTTCAATCAGATAATGGGAGAAAATTTGCAAATTAAGTTATAAATGAACTAAAGAACATATGGCCTGAACTGAAACTAGTACATGGAAAACTGAGGCAAGATTCCATTGAACGTGCCAACCAGGATGTTCAGAATATGATGATGATATGGATACAGATAAATAAATCAACACATTGGGCTAAGGGTGTCCTATTTATTTAATTCATGAAAGTTCTTTTCATCAGGGCATTCAGCAGTCACCCTATGAGGCCATGTTTGGCTGCAAGGCAAAAGTGAGGCTTAGAACCTCAAATCTGTCCAGAGAGGTTGTAGATAACTTACTTACAAATGACCATGACTTTTTCTTCCAAATTTGACTGATCACCTCCATGCCATTTTCCATTATTAATAGCCAGCAAATTAGCCAGCCAAATCCCAAAATCAAGAAAAGATCAGACATTGGCCAGTCAGTTTACACCAACATTAGCCATTTTCCATGTAATATATACATAAAAACATACACATACAAAGTATCTTACTTTATGACAATTACAGGTGTCTCTCTACTTTTAGAAACTATATAATTTTGCAGAATTTTGCCGCCTTGCAGGGGGATTGGTCTCTTATCACCAAGTGGCAGTGTCGGGTCGGTTAGACCTGCTCAATTGTCACTGGATGGCTGGTTTCCTGGTATATTGTAGGAGGTGGGAAAATCATATAATTTTCCTCTCCTATCAAGTCTGACACAAGTTATAGTTCGTGCGTCTTAACTTGCAATTATACTTGTTGTCTAAATTCAGATTAGAGGACTAGATCGAGCGGCAGAGTCATGGGTAAGTTGACAGGTGTCTGTTCTTCAAGTAAAGACAGGTTACCAGGTTAACAAACAACAAATGTTTAATAACCTAAATAAGACACTTCTACAGACAAACACAATGGCTATGATATTTCGATAATACATCCAAAGGGATACAAAATATCATCTAACTAGCTACTTATGTGTAAGTTGATCAAGAGAGAGTTTACATAAATTTATCAAGTAAAATACCTCTTATAGTGGATCAGTTAGGGCAACTTCTTTGGAGACAGTGTTCAATGTCTGCTTCGGAGGGGAGAGGAGATGAGAGCTGATGATATTAGAGCTTGGTGTATGCTCTTCATGATGTGTCGACTCTGAAACTTTGGTGAACCACTTATATTCTCACCATTTCCCAGTGGGTGTGAGAATTTCATCAGGTTCTTCTCTGTCACAAGATGTATCCGGTGGGCCGTCATAAGATTTTGTCATTAGATGGTGACGACTTAAACAATGACATGAGAGAAATAAACCTTTGTCAAGTCTTGTGACTCCCATACACACAATTAGTCATTATCGTACATTACCCACTGGAAAGAGGGTGGATTTCCAGGATATCACATTAATATGCATATTCATTATAAAGTAAACCATCATTAAACTAACAAGTTTGAATATATTTTTGATAAATTATTTACATTTCAATGTTGTTAGTTTTTCTATAAATTTATTTTGACAGTCAAAATTAAAAATATTAAAATGGTTGTTTCACATAATTCAAATGAAGATATTAAAGGTGATCAAGACATTCACAAAGAGCATGAATAGAAACTTTTTGAAAATATATCAATTTCTAATTTGGACAAAAACCATTTTCCTGTAGAATGATATCAAATAGCCAATGAATAAGATAATTTAAAAAATTAATTCTATCTTATTTTTGATTTTTATTTTTTCTGTCATTTTGGATAAGAAAACAAAAGATTTTCTTCAAAGTATATCAAAGGATCCGTGTTCTACATTTTTTTTTCAGATTTATGCTAAAAGTGTGTGAGAAATACTTGGGAAAAATATTATTGATGTTTGCATAACTATGAATTTCAAAAAAATGCAGCAAAACTATGATGTTTGTTTTAACTCCACTTTTACTTTAAAAGTAATAAATCAAATATTTAGATTTTTTTCAATAAAATAACATGTTATTTTAAATCCATCAATATGTTGACTGCCAACTACAAATTATCTTGGTGCCTATTGTTCAATTGCCAACTACACCTACAAGATAACTCTTATAATGTTATCTGTTATGCTTTGTCATGTACAACTATTCCCGTAGTAAATAGTTATTAGCAGGTGTTGGGAATGAGAATGACACTTCAATTGGCCATTATATAACAAACTATGAAGAAGTTTAAAATGTGATAAGAGTTTTCTGTTTTGATTGACAGATATGAATATTTTCGTAGTAAATGTATTACCAAAGTAGGTAATTTGTGCTTGGAATATGGATGACAAATCAGTTTGGTGTCATAAAAGGAAATGTTTATTGAAAAATGTTATTACCCGAATTAACAATATTTTTGAAATACTCAAATTTGCCTAAAATTGTGAAGAAAGAATTAAACATTTCCAATTATAATTATGTATTTGCCCAGTTGATTTTTTAAATATAAAATATATATTAAAATTAATGTATATTTTATATTAATTTTTATATATTGTTTCATAAAAGTTAAATTGTCTTTGTATTATATATATATTTATTATTATTATTATTATTAATTTCCACTTGGATAAGTTAGCCATTTTTATTTTTGTCTTTCAGGATTTTGCATGTCTATTTTTTTACAAATATAGTGTAATTAAAAGATTTAAAAATATATTTTATTGATTTATAAGATGTAATTATATTTTTTTATGAACAGTTTGGTACTTAGAATATATTCTACGGATTATAATTTTGATTAAATGAATACATTATGCACCCTTATGTAAATTGTATAATAAATTAATCATTTTTTAAAAATGGAGACAAATTCTGCCCAAAAGGGACCACCATTTATTTTCTTTGTGTTCCATACAATACACTTTGTCTTCATTTTTAAAAAATAATATACAGTAGAGCATTGATTATCTGACTCAATTGGG